GGTCTGGTAAAGAGGGGTTTCACTATACTAGTTGTTGAACTACACTAGTTGTTGATCTTCACTTTCATTGAAATTTTTCAACATGATCAAATGAAATTAAATATTTTTGTTGATATATTTAAGTGTGTTTAATTTTATGTAAACATTATAGAAAATTCATACATTAACTGTAGATCTTCAGAAAAAGGAAAGAAATTTATCTTACATTTTGACAGATTTGGAAAATGTGTTTTTTTAACCTTGAGAAATACATTGCTGTAAATGCAATCTCATTTTCAGACATAAATTTCAATTAACTACATACAGTGCTTTCAAAATGATTACAAGTAGATGGTTAGGGAAATAAAGTAGGTGGTCATGTCCATTAAAAGTCAGGTAAAAATATTAAGTATACTTTTTTTATAGTAGTCGGTGATTAACTGTGAAATAAGCACCAGAACTACGTCACCCGCCCTCTTATTTTGAAAGCATTGTACATGTACATTATTCAAGCACTATCTACATGTACTAATGACTGATAAGGTCTGCACTCCAGTTTTTTAGGTACTGATCTGGTCATTTCGCACAAAAGACTGTTTGCCCATGTTTCAAACTGTTCACACAATACTAATATTGATGAGTAGTTATTTCGCACAAAAAATAATAAACCATAAACAAAAGACATGACAGGCATAGCAATCTACTATAAAAAACATATTTGCACTTTTCAGTGACATTCAATGGAATCTATTGGCAATGAAATTAATATTTGCTTGAATGAGCTTGAACCAACACTGGTAAAAATGACCATTGATTTCATTGTACAATTACAACACTGGAAAAAAAGACCTAGCCATGTGTTTCCCTATTAAAAGGTTAAATAAACCCAATCTCTTTAATACCTTATATTTGAAAACTGATATAAATTGTTCATATACTGTAACAACGTTACTTTTCAGCATACACTTAAGTTTACTTATACACATTGTTGAATATGAAATAAGCGATGTTCACAACAGCAGATCACTTGAAACTGCTACTCACGTATATATATATGTGTATCAGTGCTTTCAAAATAATCCACCGCCCGCCAGAGTTAACTTATTTCACAGTCAATTATCAACAGTAAACTTATTAATTACTGCTTAAAACTGGTTAATTATTTTCACTACCGGAAATAAAGCATGAAACTAGACGATCATTGATCGCTTACGTGGGCTTCCTGTAGATGCGACAATGGGTCAGCTGCCGCCATTGAGCTATAAGTATTTCATTTTCACGATACAGTCTTTGTTTGAAATAAGTCAGGACAACCCTAAGCTATTTACTACATCACAATTTTTTACCGAACTGAACTCTAATTAATTNGTGTTTTCAATGAAAAAACAAAGAGTACTTTATGGAAATATGGTATATATCAACACCCTTGTTGCATACTGTAGCAAATTTATGGTGCAAAGGCAAAAAACTRTAAATTAGATTCTTAGCCCAGTTTACCTCTGAAAAAATAAAYCATTATCATATTCCATGTGGTAAAAGTTACTGAACCAAAAAGAGATTGAAATCTTAATGCACTATTGTCTAGAGTAATAATYATTAGTTCTTGTCAAGTTTGAGTTGACTACTCAGTGCCATTAAGTCCTTCCTACACGTGACATCCATCTGCCCGTTTTAAATCAAAGTTTTTGGGTTGATGGGAGCCAGGAACCTGGTCACRTGATTACCATATTGTAAAAWTTTTTTCCTTAAAATCTTAAGATTGTCAAGATACATGCCCATGCCAAATTTTGTAAGGTTTGAAGCGAGAACGACTACAGGACAAAAATAAATTGATTTTAGACCCCCCGCGAAGCATTTCCCAGGCCTTAACATGCTTGAGAACACATAAACATAGTTTTCAAAAATTCCTTGAGGCTGAAGTCTCAGAACAGTGAATAACTGGCAAAATAATGTGAATAATGGCAAAATTTGAAAAAGGACTTCTGCTCCAAGGAATTTTTTTAACTATTTTTCAAGTAGACTTACTAAAGAGTCTCACATACAGAGACTTCGGCTCAGCTAGCACAATAGTTGAACTCTATGGAAACACACTATGTAAATTGGAAAAATTCGATTTTATTTTATATTTCAGTCAAATTTCAAGCTTTTTTGATAAAACTTTGTATGTTTGTAGTTTTGAGGAACCTTAACATTTTAAGGGTGCCAGAACTTTTATCAAATGGTCACATGACATGTCACGTGATATTTCAATGGAAAGAAATTWAATTGAAMATGGGGTAACTAGAACATATGTTTTAAAAGTTGGTTATAGCCTCATATCCTTTCTTAGTTAAATATCTATAACTCTTGGCCTAGAATGGTTGCCCATCACTTTCCGTTAAGGAGATATTTGGTGAAAAAGGTCACGTGACCTGACTTTACTTCTCAAAATCTGCCATTTTCTCATCAGTAAATATAAAAAGTCATTTATTCTAGGCCAATTACTGTTTATTTAGTTAAACTTAATAGTTTGACGTCAAAAAAAACTTTCAATAAAGTATGTTTTCATTACCCCATTTTGAAATTACCGTTTTCCTATCCGTTGGGTCACGTGACCTCGAAAATTTGACAACAATATACTCAAAAATATTAAGGAACCTGATTCTAATTATTATTCCAAGTCTTATTGCTGTACGACAAATGGTGGTGAAAATATCGCGTTTTTAATATTTTTAAAATGAGATTGCATTTTCAGCAAAATACACAATATTTTCTAGGAAGAAATGTCAATGTATTTCTCAAGGTTAAAAAAACACATTTTCCAAATCTGTCAAAATGTAAGATAAATTTCTTTCCTTTTTCTGAAGATATACAGTTAACGTATGAATTTTCTATAATGTTTACATAAAATTAAACACACTTAAATATATCAACAAAAATATTTAATTTCATTTGATCATGTTGAAAAATTTCAATGAAAGTGAAGATCAACAACTAGTGTAGTTCAACAACTAGTATAGTGAAACCCCTCTTTACCAGACCGTCAATATACCGCAATTCTCTCAAAACTGGACAAAAGCTTTAGTCTGGAAATTTTTCCATTTAGCTTTTGTAAAATTACCCTCAGTATACCAGAACCTCTCTACTCTGGAAACTGGACAATTTGTTTGGTAGGGAATGATATTTGACATAGAATGCAACCCCGCTAATCAGGAAAAAAAACAACACTTTTTTCTCTTTTTAAAGACTAACGGTCATTCATTGTTTTTTGAATTTTCGTTTGCGTGTTTGTTTATACTGACGCCAAGCGATTATAGACAAAAACATGTTTTGAATACATGTACATGTAGGTGTTTTACTGTCCGTTACAAAGTGCTTGAGTTTTGCTAGGAGTTCTTTCAGTCCATTCAGAATCGGTTAAATCGAGTTTCAAAATGATTCTTGTTGATGTTATATTGAGAGAAAGTTGCTTAGTTTTTTATCGTTTTGCATTCATTATCACACCAATCGATTATAAATAAAAACGTTTAAAAGTTTTAAATTCATGTAACTATATNNAACTAGACGATCATTGATCGCTTACGTGGGCTTCCTGTAGATGCGACAATGGGTCAGCTGCCGCCATTGAGCTATAAGTATTTCATTTTCACGATACAGTCTTTGTTTGAAATAAGTCAGGACAACCCTAAGCTATTTACTACATCACAATTTTTTACCGAACTGAACTCTAATTAATTAACTTAAGTACCTTGACTTTCTCAGTTTTCAAAAATAGCTAGCCCGACTTTACGCTCTAAGAGCGTCTAGATTATTCAAAATATGCAAATATTCGAAATATGTAAATTTGACCTGAAAGGTTATGTTATATCATAGTTTCGTAGTAGCTCCAGAGATAATAATAAACAATAGAAACGGTACAGTCTTTGCAGTTTTCTAAGTATTATAACTTTGAGTAATATTTTGATCGTTTGAATGATTCAAGAAGTAGTAAGAGCTTTGAGATCAGCGTTCTAGGGTTGGTTTCCTTCATTTTCTTGATCACATTGATTTTCTTGGTCACAAACCAGGTCACAGTAGCTATAACGTGACTTAGATATCGCGATAAGACCACGAGGCCGAATGACATACGAAACAATACATGTCATGAATGAAAAGAAAGCGCTGATTGATTTACTTCGACATCCCCATGGAAACTGAGACTGCAACGCATGCGCTACCGATGCGCTACCAATTTGAAGCGTAATATTCACGACGAAATCGCCAGTTGCATTTTAAGACGTGGACTTCCACAGGAAGCCCACGTAATTAGCATAACAATAGATATCCCACAATGCCTTGCAGTGTATAAATGAGCGTGATCTGCACGCTTTGTTCATTCCGATTCAAACCACGGACACATACCTTCAAATTTTGCGAGTTGTCAGTCTCCATAGGACAGATTTGTGACTGAAACAATTAAGAAAGATAATGCAATTAATTTTGTRAGTTTTGTAAGGCTTTTTTTTCAGTCAGGAATTATTGGACATAGTGTGGGGTGAATCATGGGCTTTATTTCTGACCAATTACTTGCCTCATTTCAAATTTGGCATGAATATCAAAAGCATTGTGACTATCTCAATAAAATTTATGTACATTTTTTGTACATTTTGAATTGTTGTTTGACAAAGAACATAGAAAAGGTTCAAYGGTCTAGCTGACTTTTGTTATGCAATGCCACATTTCGAGTGATATGCAAAAATCACACCCATGAAATATTTGTCAGTTTTTTTGCTGTTTATTTGTTAGTTATTAGAACGATTTAACATGCAAATGAGTTGTCGTAAAGGGAAAGCAAARTCATTATTTTTGAGCTCAATTTGATACTTGGAGTTATGGTCTGCCACGTTTGTGTACAGGTTTAATACGCCAGTCATGGCGTTCCCATAAATTTCTTTGACCGTAAGACCGTAAGACTTGCATAACTGTTGGGAATGAATATATGTTTTTTTGGACTCAAAAAAATTCATTTGGATGAAAAAAAAGGTTTTTGTAGGTATTTCTTCAACAGTTCAGATAAAACACATTGACCCGTGATAATTCCATACATTCTGACCAATTTTCAATTGCTTGTATTTCTCTTAAAAACATTATTTTGGGTCACAATTCTGTAATGATCCTTAAATTTAGATGTTCTTCCAGGACAATAATTAGATCACGTGATCAGTGAAAACCAAGAATAATAATGTATTGTAAACCATTTTTTCTTATTAGAGGTTGTTATTTTGCTAGAAAAATGAAAAAATGTGTGATAATTATGAAAAAATAATTATTAATGGCCAATGCTCACATGACTTTGGTATGAATAATCAACTGAAGACAATTACCAATTGGCATGTTTACTCGCAAGTTTTGAATAAGGCTGTTGTTGGCTAAAACTAAGTGTTAATAACTTTTTTTCCTCTCCGTAATACATTTTCCCTTGTAACACTTTTATTATACTATTTATTATATTATTCTATTTAAAAGATTATATCTACAGTATATAGAATCTAGTTAAACATGCAGAAATTACTCAAAAATTCACACCCCTTCTAATTTATTACAATATGTAAATTGTCAAAATGTGTTACGGTCAGAATTTTTGCAAATGACTGTACATATTAATTTATATAAATGCTAATAGATGTCTAAAAAGAGAAAATGAAACAAGAATCAAGAAAGGTGCAATAGTGCAATCACTAAAAGTGTGGAACATATCGAGTGCATCATGGTCAATGTTGTATAAAGTTGATTGTTCGAAATTTGCTATTTAGTGTCTATGATTTTTATACATTTTTATACAGTTTCCTTTTACTCATTTTAGGTTTCATCAATGGCCAAAGAAGAATTTCCATACCCAGTGAACAAGAACAAAGCATTGAACCAAGGCATTAAGGTACTGGTCTCTTGATTTTCGTACAAATTCTTTAGATGCTATATTTATGCTGAGTGTTCAGAAGTACAGCAGTACCTGTCTGAACCATTTGAAACACATGTGTATTTTGAAGCTCTGAAAGAATCTTGGATTTTGCTGTCAGTGATGAAAGTGCTTTTGTGWTGTTACTGATATCTGTTTTTTTTTAATTACCAAAAAATTCTATCGAGTGGATGCTTCGTACACGCAAGTTCTTCTCGCTTATTTGGCTTACAGTATTTTGGCTGTTTCTCAATCGCCTCAATTTCTTTTGCTGTACGAATCATTTATGTTTCATACTTATATGTTCGGTTAAGCGAGGAAACGATCAAAATGTTRTTATTTGTGCATTCAAAGTTAATACTAACCATTTTAGGCGTCGAGATTTCTTGGAGGAGGCCAATGTTACCAAATTGTCTAGGAGTTGGGGTTCCTGTGGTACCCAGGGGTCTTTGCGCTGGGCAAGATTGGGTCGGCTCCTTTTCAAGAGGACGGTCGTCGGCGAAGTGACCCTAACGTTCGATGATTTTTATATTTAGTTATAACGATGTTTTAAAAGTCTTCTACTGGACGCTTTCAGCAGCCGTTTCTTTTGTTTACGATCTCCAGGAATCTAAGAAGAATTCTAAATTTTTCCGAATTTATTTCTAAGGGTCTTCCTACCGGAATTGCATCCTTCTAAGCACTATAACTTTCTTTCATTTCTATATCTTGAAAAGGAGTCGGCCGAGATGGCCCTGGGGACGAGGTTGAGCTTTGTCAGCTCTTTTACTTATGCTTTCTTTGTAATTGTCTTAACAGTTCGTAATTGTCAACTGCCGTGTGGCTAAGCTACGTTCCTCACGTGTCACTTCTGCTTCAAGCCTATACCGAAAATAGTCRAGATGAATTCTTGATAGTTTCATATTACGACATCAAAAATGTGACATCTCTAATATATATTGTACGTCSAGTCAAGCTCTATACGTTTTAACGAAGTGTTATTGGACATAAGAACAAAAATGACTTAAAGAATATTCTTTGGTTGTTAAGATATATTAAARCTTGAATGCATTTCACAAAAGAACAAACCATAAAGAATGTCAAGACAGCCGTTAGTCTCCTGCTTATATCGCACATGAAGTTTGCARGTAACGATTGCGTAGGATCCTGAATCTTCCTAAAATTTGACAACGAGGACTTCTGCTTAACTTTTGAAATGTGTGTCTCATTCAACTATTGCGATGAATTGTGAGCATAACTACAACACTCTCAGATACATTTGTATGTTTTGGAAACCCAAGACATCCTTTCTGTCGTGATGGCAGTCAGCTCAGCTCTGATGACTTGAAACCTTGAAGTTTATCACAAATCCACCACAGCAGAACTTCACCTTCCTAGACGTAAATGGGCAGTTCGAAAAAAATAGCCCCTTTCATCTTGTGAATTGTTCTTTGAACTCTATCGTGCACATTTATATTAAGCCRAAATCAATCTATCACAACTTATCCTTTTTCATTCTTGATCCAAGGTATTTCTTTGGTGAGTAATGTAATAAGTAAAAAACAGAACTCGATATTGGGTACAAAACGACACTGATTTCTTTTTTCCTTTTTTTTCATTTTCAGCCGCTTGTAGGCGCTGAATAATGTATTATTTCGAGCAACTCTAGATATGATATCTATTAAATGTTTCCGTGATAAAAATTCACAATAAATGAGCAACCAATGAAAAGAGAAAAAAATCTTAGCCAATCAAAATTCATATTCGACCGGTCGATGCCAGGGTCTTTTCTTCTCTCGGAAAAGGACCTGGGAACGAGGTTGCGTCTTGTCGTATTTTGAGAAGCCAAACATATTCAGAGTCGGGATTGCTGTGGCTCGAATTCGAGGTATTAAAAACTTTATTTTAATCTAAAATCATAAGACATTACACAAAGGTTGTTGATATCATACTTCCAAATTATAAAGGTAATAAAATTCTTAATCAGCATTTACGAAGTATTGTTTATGTGAATTTTTTTTGGATGGCTTCGGAACGATTTAATTTCGAAGACTTAGAACGCTTTTTATCGTGTGACCCTGTAATGCATGCATCAAAATATCAACGTTTCATTCGAGTAAACTATTATAGTACTGTAGCTACAAATGGAGTTGAAGACCGAATACACGATAAAAACGTAAATATTGAATTGGGTTTCCTTGAAAGCATTTTGAAAAATCTGGTCCCACAGTGCGTTTTAAGGATKCTTCCGTCACAATCTCACTGCAGGAGACTGTTCTATTATCTGATACTATGTTATTAGGCAGTCCACGTACTGAGAAACATTCTCTTAACTTCTGTATGGTAACTGCAGCTATACTGAGGCTCTTCTTGAATACGTCGATCCACTTACTATAGGCATCTCCGATCACCAGGAACATGTCCTTCGAAAGGTACCTGTGTAGTCAATATGTATGCGAGACCAGGGTCTGGACGGTCACTCCCACGGATGTAGTGGTGCAGCGGAAGGTGCCTTGGCATTATTTTGGAGATTGCACAGTCCTTTATCTTTGGTTGAATATCGGCGTCCAGTCCAGGCCACCAGAAATACCTTCGGGCCAACATTTTCATTCGGACCATCCCTGGATGTCCTTCCTGTAATTTACTGAGAAGTTTAACTCTTCCTTGAGGAGGTATAACTACTCTGCAACCCCACAGCAGGCATCCATGTTGACAGCTGAGTTGTGTCTTTCTAGACCGGTAGGGTTTGAACTCTTCCCGATCATCGGAATGGGGTCATCCTGACATTAAAGTAGAGTAGAGTAGAGTAGGATCTTCTGAGGTCCAACCCTCAATATCCTTGACTTTAACAGGTGATTCATTAGAAACATAATGTCAACAGAGACATTATGTTGAGACCATCGTCATTACCGTTGCTGCGAAGCTCTCTATAAAGCAGGTCGTACGAATAGCCAGACAATTACACAGACCGCCTCTGTATGCATAATGAGGCTGATGGCGGTATTTGTTTGGTAATAGACCAAGCATGGCCTTGTGATCCTTATAAATGGTAAAACTCTTTCCATATCACAGCTAACATGATGGCTGGTATCTCTGTGTCAAGTTGCGAGTAATATTTTTCTGCTGGAGACAGAGTACGAGAGGCGTATGAAATTGGACATTCAGTACCGTCATATATAACATGGGAAATGACACAGCCGAGAGCATATCGTGATGCGTCACAAGCAAACTGTAATGCACAAGAAGTTATGAAGAGTAAAGTACTTAATTGTACTTTGTTTCAAAATTCTTCATCTAGTGATGTAAGGTAAATAACAAGAGTAATAGCTAAACATGCCTAGGAAGGCTTGCAGCTACAGATTAGTCGGCCTTGGTGCATCTTGATCTTTGTCTATGCGATGTCCCAGATAAGTAACTTCAGGTGCTTGAAAGATGCACAACGAAACATCAGTTCCTTAGAAACATCTGCGGGTCTGTCTTATTAACCTCGCGAAATTGCCCAAGGCTTCTCTGATTATTTTAGAACAGCAATAGCAAAGATCAGACAAAATTTGCTTCCCTCTGTGTTCACACCAACGCAATCGCAGAAAGCTCTCGGTGTTTTTCGATTATCTGGTGTAATCGAAGACTTTGTTCTTAGTGAACTTTTGAAGATCAAGTCATCGAAATCCACTGGACTCAAGGAAATCCCTGCTCGCCTATTGAAGGATGGTGCTCCTGAAATATCAAAGCCGCTGACCACTCATCAATCGTTCTCTGGCGGAAGGTTCCATACCGTCAGATTGGAAACATACCGTGGTTACACCTGTCTATAAGTCTGGTCTTGTTTCAGATGCGGCAAACTATCGCCCTATCTCGACTCTCCCTGTATTTTCAAAAATCCTCGAACGTGCTGTCCACTCTATGGTCTACAGCTATCGTTAGGAGAATCACTTACTCAGCAATTACCAATCTGGCTTCAGGCCCTTGCACTCAACATCCACCTGCCTAACTGATGTATCCAACAGACTGCTGCAGGGCGTGGACARAGGTCAGATGTCTGGAATGGTCTTCTTAGACCTTTCCAAGGCATTTGATACTATTGACCACGCCCTGATGCTGAATAAACTGAAAGATCTCGGTTTTTCCGATGCAGCTGTAAATTGGTTTAGAGCCTATTTAAGTAATAGGTCACAGAGTGTATGTGTTAACGGTGTTGTTTCGGACCCCCAACCGATAAATTGCATTTGGCGTTCCCCAAGGTTCATATATTAACGATCTTCCATCTGTAGTTAATAACTGTGAAATACAGCTCTATGCTGATGACACACTGCTATTTTACAGCAGCAATTCTATATCTGATATTGAACATCATTTGACTGAAGACCTTGGCAGAATTGTTAGTTGGTAAGAAAGTAATTTTCTGTTTCTTAACTATAGTAAGACAAAGATCATGTTAGTTGGCACGCACCAACGCCTTAGCAGGGTWAATAGCTTTACTATCCATGTACGCAATAACATTCTCGACAGAGTCTATCAGTTTAAGTATCTTGGAGTCATGCTTGACCCAACCCTCTCTTGGAACGACCATATTGACTATATATCCTCCAAAATATCATCCAGGTTGGGCATGCTGCGGAAAGCCCGTAGGGTCGTTCCTCGAGAGGCTTGCATCACATTGTATGAGTCTATGATACTTCCATTGTTTGACTACTGCTCTGCTGTCTGGGGTGGCCGCGGACAGACTAACCGCAGCTATCTCGACAGGCTGCAGCGGCGTGCTTTTAGTATAATTGACAGACTAACCGCAGCTATCTCGACAGGCTGCAGCGGCGTGCTTTTAGTATAATTGAGTCCAGAATTGTTCAACAGTCTGAAGTTCGTAATACGCTAAGATGGCCTTCGCTGGAGGCGCGCCGCAATTATCAAATTTCTTTACTTGTTATGCCTGCATGGCCTAGCACCTGTCTATCTTCTTAACCAATTCTCCTTTTCTCGTGGCTTCCATACTTAAAGTAAAGACCAAATCCGTTTACTGCTGGCTAAAACATTTAAATTTCAGAGCTCTTTTTAACTCGAAGATTGCGAAGCAATCGAAGAGTTATAGGAGGGAGATGAGGGAGATGATGTGTGAGGGGGACTAGTTAATTAGTCACTAATTTTTTTTCTGTAAACATACGGGCATTTAGAAATCTGTAACCAAGATGGGCAGGTGTTTTGATACAGTGATGGCTTTTTAAACACACAAAATGTGATTTTTGAGGTCTGGAAGTTCTTGTATAAGAATCTGTTGATTTCAAAAGTCGTTTTAGGAGATATCGTGTGAATATGGGTCATAAATACAGCATTGCTATTACGATGATTTCAAGGATTATTCCGATCCACGTCGATTAGTGATTTAATGCTCATCGATTCATATAAACTTTATCCTTCGTAAGAGGCTTTATACAGACTTATGTCCAGATTTATTGTCTGAAAATCTTCGAGTTGTGTCGCCATTGGCGGCTTGATTT